CCTTTTATGGCCGTTCAGGGTTCATATGTTATATCAAATGAGCTCAGTTCAATGGCCACTTTGTCATTCTTCCCGACAGATCTGGCTTATGCAGGATAATCCTTATAGGAAAGGTGGTAAGAACAACGATACGATGGGATTCAAAATAATGCCTGAGTTTCCTCTTTGCATTCACCAATTATAGGATCACCCGCTCGGCCTTTGAGTACCTTCTCTCCGGATCGGCCATTGTTTTGCTAACGTAGAACACTGGGAATTGCTTTCCTTCCTCATTCCGTACCAGAACAGCACTTGTCGCAATGCTCGATAACCCAAGATACATGAAAAGCTTTTCACCTGGTTTTGGGGCAGAAAGGATTATAGGGTTCTGCATATACTCTTTAAACCTGGTCAGTGCCTGTCGTTGTTCATCCCCCTAGGCTTGCCTTCTGTAGCCTCTTATTGTGTCAAAGAACGGTTTACAACGATCTGACAACTTAGAAATGAACCGGCTTAGCACCGATATCCGTCAGGCGAGTGCCTGAATCTCCTTAATGGTTCTTGGTTGTTCATTCTTTATCAAAGCCTCGGCTTGAGCTTGGCTGACTTCTATCCCCCTGCTGTTGCTAAGTGTCCCAAAAACTGTCCGGAGCCCACCCCGAACGAGCATTTAGTTGGGTTAAGTTTCATGCCGTATTTCCTCAACACCTCGAACACATCTCGTAAGTGCAGCAAATGCTGGTCCTTCTTTTTACTTTTGACTACCATACCATCAATATAGGCTTCTACAGCTTTACCTATCTAACTTTTAAAAATCTTGCTAACCTTTGGTAAGTGGCCCCAGCATTCTTCAATCTGAACGACATAACCTTGTAGCAATAGATCCCTCGTTCAGTTACAAAGGAAGTTTTTTCTTCATAGTTCGGGTCCATAGGAATCTTATTGTAACCTGAGTAAGCATCCAGAAAAGTTAGCCATTCATATCCAGTAGTCACATCTACTATTTGATCAATCTTTGGTAGAGGAAAACTGTCATTTGGACAAGCTTTGTTCAGGTTAGTTATGTCAATAAAAACTCTCCATTTCCCATTATTCTTCTAGACTACCACCACGTTCGAGAGCCAAGATGGGTACTGAACCTCCCTGATGAACCCTGCCTCCAACAATCTATTAATTTCATCGGCTATGATTTGATTGCGCTCTGGAGCGAACCTCCTCTGCTTCTGTCTTACAAGCTTGACGTTCGGATCAACATTGAGAGAATGATAGGACACAGAAGGATTGATTCCTGGCATGTCCGAGTGGCTCCAAACAAACACGTCCGCATTTTTAGATAAAAGATCAACGAGCTGCCGTTTTTCCTCTATTACAAGCCTTGATCCTATTCTTGTGGTTCTGTCTGGTCTCTAAGGATCAATCTGCACATCCACAAGGGGATCTTCAGTAAGGATCAAAGGCTCTTCCTCCTCCCCAACCTCTTTGGGTGGAGGCCCCTATAATTGCTATCTCGGGCTCGCAAGTCGAACGATCGTTTTTCCTTTCCCGCCGGCCTTCAGGGTTATAGAATAACATTCCTTTGCCGCCACCTAGTCTCTATGTATATCAATCACTTTGCTCCCATCTGGACTCATGCATCTCATTACTTGGTGCAAAGTTGAGGGGACACCTTAGATCCTGTGAATCCACCCTCTTCCCATCAAGAAATTGTAAGACGGGTGAATTTCGACAACCACAAAGCTTTCTACCAAATCTCGCTCGGCAACTAAAACTAGCAACTCAACCATACCGATGGGTTCCACCCACTTTCCTTCAAATCCTAACAGTGGATTTCCTGTAGGTTTGAGCTTTTCTAGTTCAATTCCAAGCCGCTAGAACGCTACTCTTGTCATGACGTTTGCGCTGCTCCGTGGATCAATCAAAACCTTTCGAACCAGGCATTCTGCTACCAGCAGGCTAATGACCAAGGGATCTTCATGAGGGATCTGGATTCGCAAAAGATCCGTTCTGTCAAACCTTATCTGGATTGAGCTGCTTTGTTGCTGTAGTACGTTTACACTGCCTATCCTTTTCTTCATTTGTACTTGGCGAAGCCGTGTTCGGAGTAACTCTTCTGACTCTTCGGATGTCTCGGGCCGACCATGAATTGCATTTATAATACGAACAGGTTGAGCGTTATGATAGTTCGGCTTTTGATTTCTCTTCACTTGCTCAACCGGTCGGTTTTACTCTACTGTTGGCCCTTGAATGTAACTACCGAACTCCCCCTTCGCTATCAACATCTCTACCTGTCTTCTTAAATTCCTGCATTCATTAGTCAGATGTCCAAAATCACTATGAAAAGCACAATGTTTGGATTGATCTCTTTGTTCAAGTGGTTGTCTGATTGGCTGGGGAGGGCGAAACTTATCTTTATTTTCTTGGAATAACCACGCCAAGCTGACCTTGAGTGGAGTGATCGACTCCTCCTCCCTAGGCCTCTTTTCTACTCTCCAAAAGGTCAGATGTGGTGGCGCAACCTGTTTTTAACCGATCTTTGCTTTGGTTTTTTCTCCTACTGCGACCATGGATGCCTTCCTTGCATTGGCTGCTTCTTCTTCTTCCAAGCGCACAAAACCATCAGCCCTCTCGTTCAACTCATCCATAGTCTTCGGCGTATTCACCACTAGATTTGTGTGGAACGGTGTTCCTCGGTTCATAGCTAGTTTGAATGCTTGAACCACTGTGGATGGATGGCACTCTATCACCATGCTCTTTTCCAGGTTAAATCTAGTGAGAAAAGCTTAGAGGAGTTCACCTTCCTGTTGTTTCATTGTAAACAGACTTGATATGTCTTTGGCTGACCGTTTATTTCCATCGTATTGGCTTATGAATTTGTCGCACATGCTCCTGAAGCTTTCCACCGACCCCCTTGCCAAATTCTTAAACCAATTAAGCATCGGTCCAGTAAGGCTTGTAGGGAACACTTTGCACATCAGAGCATCATTTTCTATATTCAGATCCATCTTTAGCTGAATGTGATAAACATGTTCGATCGGATCACTCGTTCCATCAAACAAAGTGAAGACTAACATGGAGAATTTTCTTGGATTTGGAGCATTCAAGATCTCATCTGTAAATGGTGAATCGGCAATCCGAGCCGCTTGCGGAGGGCTTCATTTTCCTTCGGGAGTATTTTTTCCTCAACAGATCTCTTGCCTAAACTCCTGTGGTCATACGTGGCTATTAACGGATGGTAGATTGGATCGAACAACCTTTCCTCAGTTAACTCCCTCTGTCATGACAGTGTAGCCTTATTGTGACCGAACTCTATGGCTTCCTCTCGCCCGATCCTTTCACGGTGTGGATCCAGATGGACAAATCCTTCCCGATCTTCCTGATGGTGGATATTCGGTGGGAAAATTTCTAGCCTAAACTCTTCACGGCGCGGATCCAAGTGAACATATCCTTCTTGTTCATCCTGGCGAACGACATTTGGCAACAGAGTTCTTTCTCCTGCTGGAGGCGGTGGTCGTGGAATTGCCAGAGCGTCTCGCCGATCCATTCCGGCTCTTAATTCCGCATTTTCTCGCCTTAACGTCTCGATCAAGCTCATTAGCTCATCAAGCTTTGCATGTTGCTCATTCTCCTGCGGATAAGAACTTTCACCTCCGATCATCATTCATGATCGGAGCAGAGTCATCAACTACTGAATCCTAGTCAAATCTGAACTTTCCTGCCATGAATTAATCAGATCTGGCCTTCGTTTGGCCAAATTCTGATCTCCGTTGGTTATATCTGAACTTTTCCTGCTGCGAATTCGTCAGATCTGGCCTTCGTTTGGCCAAATTCTGATCTCCATTGGTTAGATCTGAACTTTTCCTGCCGCGAATTCATCAGATCTTGCCTTCGTCCGCTAGAATTGAACCTTCATAAATCAGATCACGATCTCCACAAATCAGAGTTCAATCTCCAGACATCAGGCCTCAATCTTCATAGATCGAACCTCGACACTCGCAAATCGAACCTAATCCTCCGAGAGAAGATCAATCCATTTGTAACACATTCAAGGATCACTTGCATCTATTCTTTGTTTCCCACAAACGATGCCATTGAAGCTGCAATGAAAATGTTCTCTCAATTTGGAAAACTAACTTCTTACACTTCAAAATATCTCAACCACCTTTCCCTCTCATTCTATTTATAGACTTTTACAAGTATTCTAGAAGTTTCCTTTTTCATCCTCCATGTTAGGCTGATTTTCTGGGCTTTTCTTTCAGTGCTGGTTCATTTCTTCTCTTTGAGATTGGGCTCGGAGATTGTCTTAATGGAGATTGGGCCTCTTGGGCTATTATCCGATCGGGTCAATTGTTGTCTCCCGACCCAATCTTTAGTAGGATGGGTCATATCCGGCCCACGCTATTTTTGGTATCTTCAATACTCTTATATAGCAAATTAAAAACTATTTTCTTGATTATAAATGTGTTCCTATATATATATAATCCATTTTCATATATGAACTCCTTTTCAATATGTAAGAAAATAAGACCCTCCTTCATTCAAATCGGCACATCCAATAATCAGAGTCTGAATCTTATTTAATAAACACCTTTGACTAATACAAAGTTATTGTAAAATTTGAAGAAAGCACCAAGACAAACCAGCCATTACTCTACTCCAGCTACTTGAAAAAACATGTACATTTAAAGCAAATACATTCCAAACTAATTGCCACCATTAGACAAATGAACACAAGGCAACAGCACAGCCAAAGACTCAATTTCATGCCAAACTAATTGCAACAATATATATATATATATATATATATATATTAGAAATCCATCAAACATATAATGCAAAACCATACTCTTTTCTCCTTGAATAAACATCTACATTTAAAGCATTTGATATTTCTAATAACACAGCTTCAATTGAGCTCACCCAAAACAACACTGGCTAGCAGTACTGAAACTTTTAAACCACAACAACAACTACTAAAAGTTTATGTATATTTAATTCTAAACCACAAATGCAAACTACACCAATTAATAATCATGCCATTAGCAGCAAACAAAAAATTTTATCACTCTTTGTTCTCAGTTCATATATGCATATATAACAGCAAAGAAAACACACATCAAGTAACATCATACTCCTGAAATTTTTAACAGTACCAGCTAGAGTGTAAATTGAGTAAATTAAGATCTACCTAAAATATTGAATGCATCCTTCGCACGTCTCACATCCACGGTGGCAACGTGAGGGCCGGCGCACCCCAAAACTTGATCGACAGTGCAGCAAGAGTTGAGGCCATCTTCTTCAGGATCACCATTTTCAGAATACCCATCTTAATGGAGGCCTTGATTTCGGCGGTGTTATAAAAAACCCCAAGGAAGATCAATCATACCAGACCTTCTTTCTCTGCCTTCCCTTCGATGTGGATGACATTCTTTTTTACCTCAATGTCCAGACCTTCTTTCCCAATTCCATGTATGTCAACCTTAATTATTGCCTCTCGCTCGTATTCCATTGCATTGCACGTCGCATCCGGACCTTGAGTCAGAATCGGATGGTTCATCTGAGCTAGATATATTATCTGAAGAACTATATATATATACACACACACACATATAGAAATGAACCAAAACTCAGTAAAAAAAAAAATCACTATGTAGCTGTAATAGATTCAAAGAGATAAAATCAAATCACAATTAAAAAAATCAAAATAGAAACAGATTTTGAGAGAGTGACGATAAGTACGAGTCATTACCTCTTCCCTGGGAGGGCTGAGACCGAGTGTGGTAGTCTGGAGCGCCGGAGGAGCTGAAAGAGTGATGGTGACCAGAGAAAGGAGAGGTGGCCATCGTGGACGACCGATTAGATCGGACAAGCTTTGCAACGGTGAGATATCTGGAGGCCATTGATGCGAGCTGTGAAGGCTATTAATTACTATCTGTTTATTAAAGTTTCTTTTCTATTCTTGTTACATGTAAGTTATAATTTTCTTATAAGAGATTTGATATTCTTTTGTACCTAGCTGAGTTTATAACTTTTCTAAAAAAAATCCCTTCTCAACTGGTTTATTTTGGAGAAAGAAGATATTGATTAACATAATCTTAACATATTTTTAAAAGATAAACAATTCATAAAAATGAAAAAAAAAAAAAAAAAAACACTTCAAATTGCAATAATATTATGTTCAATAAGTTGATATGTTCATCTAATTTATACACCATCCCTTATATTTATCCAAGTAATTGAACTGTTTTTTTGAATTTTTCTTAGAAATTACTATTCAACGTACAAATTCAATAGTAAAATATTAAGAATTTTTACTTAATACCAAAACTTAATTAAAATACAAAAGTAATTTCACTTTGACTTATTAGTCACCATTATTTTGGGCAACCAATTTAACAAGATCACAAAATTCCAGTAACTTTGTCAAAATAGCAACCTTATAAGGAAGAGAAGTGATTTTATTTTTCTTTTCAAAATATTAGGCAAGTTAGCTTATGGATATAAACAATTTATCATGCTTTAAAACAACTAAATAGTGCTAAGAAAAAAAAAAAAAAAAAAAAAAAAAAACCAACTAAATAAAATAATAACATAAACAAAACTAGTTAGACATATGTATAAACATTTAAAACAAAAGATTGAATTATTTGAAACGAATTTATAAGAAAGAAGGATTTATGTGTCCATGTTTTAGTATATAGTAGAGTACTTCACTATAACTCAAAGTACTCACCCCTTAAATAGTTAACTGTGAAGATAAACAATAACATAATGTCTAAGATAAAGCAAAGTTAGCCACTTAACAACAATAACTTTCGAGTATATAACATTAACAGGTTTAATACTAATTATTTTTAATATTTTTGAAACACATTTTAGTATATAGTTTACTGACTCGACATTAACTAGAACAATGAACACCACAGAACCACCTAAAGAGCATATGAATAAACCCTAATCCAGCTACTGCTGTTCAACATAATCAATACCATAGAACCAGTCACTCTCCGGTTAGAGCTCATTCGTGAGCCAAACTCACTAAACACCAGCTGCACGTCAGCACGTGCTTGACACTGAACACTGAGACCATTAGAACACTAATCACCCATTACTTACTTTCCTATAACCACTTAATCTGTATCAGGGTTCATGTCATCTACAAGCCCAGTTTTCTAAACAAAATGGTGGCCGCCATAAACACACATGAACACAGTGGAACAGCACAGCCAATGGCCCCAATTCATTCCAAACTAATTGCCACAAATATTAGAAATACATCAAACATATAATGCAAAAGAATACTCTTTTCTCCTTGAAAAAATGTCTACATTTAAAGCAATTGATATTTCAATTATGACCACAACCAACTTGTATGAGCCAAGCTCGAGCTGTTCATCGAAACTTTGGTTCATTTACAGCCATACACCCAGCTGATATGAATGATGAGTTAAATGTTCAAAATAAGGGAGTACTAGCTACTAACAGCTTTTGTAGATTTTATTCTAAATGACAAATACAAACTTCACCAATTAACAATCAAGATTCATAAGAAAGAGAAGTCAATCACAACTAATTTTACTGATCAAAGCAAAATCAGAACAATAAGTTACTCCATTGAATATCTAAAACAAGTTTCTTTCATCTATTTTCCAGATACCATTGATCAACAACTTACCAAACATAAAAAAAACTCATACACAACACAAACCAATTCACACATCACTTCCTTTTCTTCTCCTTCTTACCCCCTGACATTCGGAACCATCAGCCTGAGAATTCCATTCTTCAACTCAACCTTTACCCCATAAGCCCTGTGCTCATCTAGACTGAACTCAAGACTGCCACCATACCTCCTCCCACAATCATGTTTCCCAAATTCCTTCTCTCCTTTGCCTTGGAAAAACAGTGTTGTTCTCCACCCAAACTTTAATTCCAATCTCACCAACACCAGGTAACAACATCCTCACAAGCATACACCTCCTTCACCTCATTGATCTCCACACCATTTTTGTCCGCCAAATTGGAATGAATTTTTCATCCTAACTTCCTGAAGTGAAACCATACTATATACCTATCTCAAACCCATAACTTAATGAGTTAAGTAGGTTTGAAGATGACAATATCATATCAGAATCTCTACCCCCCCCCCTCAAAAAAAAGAGCACTCTAGTTCTAAAAAAATTATAGAGAAGCAAACTGCATTAACAGCTTCTAAATTATAGAAACCAGAAACAACATTGTATTTTCATATAGCAGCAAACACATATCCTAGCATCCTCCATATAATACTTTTAAAATAAGAAAATTCATATATAAATATATAGCTTGAGTAAGCATCTACCTAATTCAGTCCTTCCAAAGTCTCTAACATCAATTCCAAGATAACAAGGGGCAACAAAACTGAATCAGCTGTGGAATCGGCGACATTGATCTGGTCAGTGTTGTAGAAATCAGGAAGAAGATCAACGTCGTTGGAATATATCCTCTCAAGCTTATCCTTGTATGGATAACAGTAGCAGTCACAACTCTGTTCGATCACGTGGGTCTCACTGTGAGAACCGCACAATTCTACAGTTGAGGAGCCACAATTGCGCAATCACAACCGTACCAAGCATTTCTCTCTTATATATGTTCCCAAATATCAATAACTTTTATGTCATACAAAGCTTGACCCTACTATTACATCACCAAAAAGTCCTCAATTGAGAGTTCACTGGCCATATAGGAACTTTTTTATCCAATACTCTTCATCCTAGAAAAAACATCTACATTTAAAGCAATTGATATTTCGAATATGGCAACTTGAATTGAGCTCATCCAAGTGGTATGAATGAGTTAAATGTTCAAAACAATACTAGCAAATGTTGAAACTCTTAAAGCACAACTCGCACTAACAGCTTGTGTATATTTAAATCTAAACAATAAATATGAATTACACCAGTTAAAAATCAAGACACATAAGAAAGAGCAGTAAATCACAACTAATTTTACTTTTACTTAAAAGAGAAAAATAAGAACTAAAAGTTTACTCCATTGTATATATCATATCGCATTCAAAAAAATATTCTTCTCAACTAAAAGACACATAAAAACCAGTTTCTTTCAACTATTTCCAAATACCAGTCACTGAACATCAACTCACCAAACACATCACTTCATTTTCTTCTCCTTCTTACCCTTGGTATTCTTCTCCTCCTTACCTTCCACATTCGGAACCATCAGCCTGAGAATTCCATTCTTCATCTCGAACTTTACCCCGTCAGCCCTTTGCTCATCGGGACTGAATTCAAGGCTGCCAACATACCTCCTCCCACAATCATCCTTCTCATATTCCTTCTCTCCATCGCCTTGGAAGAACACAGTGTGGTTCTCTGCCCAAACCTTAATTCCATTCTCGCCAACACCAGGCAATGCCATCCTCACAAGTACACCCTCCTTCACCTCATTGACCTCCACCGCATTTCCGGGTCCACCACATTGAAATGGATTTTCCATCTTAACTTCCTGAAGTGGAACTTTAACCATAACTGTAGCAAAACAAAAACCCCAAATTGAATTAGAATCTAGAGTTGGGCAGTACAATACCAAGGTTGATAGTTAAAATTGGCTGATTAAAAAATAGGTTTTGCTTAAAATATAGAAATCATAAGTAGAACCATGGAAAGGAAAATTATTACTAGAATAACTGTAACAAAAAGAATGAAGACCAAAATTAAGTTAGAAATCAAGAGTTGGGTAGTACAATAACAGGGACAATAGCTAAAAAAAGATGGGTCTTGCTTAAAATTATAAGTAGAATGAGAAAAAGATTGAAACTATGAGTAGAATTATGGCAAGTAAAATTATGAGTACAATACCAGTAACAAAAAAGACGAAACCAAAATTGAAATAGAATTAAGATTTGGGTATAATAGGGTAGATAACTAAATTTGAGAACTAAAAGAGATGAATTTTGCTTAAAATTATGTGTATAACAAGAAAAATATCACTAGTACTACCATTTAAATCCTTGGGTTTGACGTTGCCAGGAGAATGAGTCCTCAGTGGTGGTGGTGGAGGTGCAGGAACGGGCAGTGGCAAAGCGAGCTAGGATGGCGGATGGAGTTTTAGGGTTGAGGAATTGGATCGAAGAGGTGGCGGCTCTTCTCATAGCCATTGATGAAGCCACTTTGAGTCGGAGTCAGAATGTTCAATACTATGAGTTCGGTGTGATTAATTATCGGTAAGTGATGGTATGTATATGCTTGCCCTCCTTGGCAAACCAATTCCAGTCATCAGCGGGGTAATCCTTCTGTAGGGATTCAACTCAAGCGGGTTGGGGCTCAACTGGGCTTAACCAGAAGCATGAAATAGTCAATCATAACACAATCTAACCCAATTGTTATTTCAAATATCGTTCTAAATTAAAAAATAGTATGGATACAAATTATAGATTTTACAATTGTTAGTTCAAATATCGTTCAAAAGTTGGAAACATCCATTTTTAGACATAAAATGTCATTTTCAACACAGCAATTCCCATTTATCAGACTACAAATGTAATTAGTGTTTATAAATCACAAAGTTCTAATAAGTTTGTCAAAGTAGTTGGGAAATTATTAGAACCGTGTAAGGAATAGGGGGAGGGTCTGAACGGAATAGAGCTGAGAAAGTTCTAGCAACTTTGTCAATGTTTATTTTCTCTTCAAATTCAAAGGTAGAGTAATCAATTATTACAAGGGAGTAAAATAAGCTGGCTCATAGGACAATTTAATTGAATGGAGCATCTAGTGACCCTTTAACCTCTGCTTAATGATTATAAGGGGGGACAGCATTATTGGTTGCTCTAAGAGGCCGGACACCATCAGCGTTGTCAAAAAAAAAACAAAACTCTGCTTAATGGTGAATCAAATGTTGATCCATCCACTTGTAACGCAATTTTAACAGATTAAAATGGTGGTTTTACATTGAAGAAATTGAAAGTATAAACACTACAATAGAAATTGGAAGTTAAAGAGCAATTAAATTTGAATATTTAAATAATCAATGTACGAGCGAGAGGCAATAGTAAAGATTGACATGCCCGGAATCGGAATAGAATGTCTGGACATTGAGGTGAAAAGAATAAGTACTCATAATTATATACATGTGTGTGTGTGTGTGTGTGTGTGTGTGTGTGTGTGTGTACAGAACGATGGAGTAAATAAATACACACAGTAAACAAAATCACTAAGCTGTAAAAGATTCACAGAGACATAAAATCAAAACACAGCCAAGAAAATTAAAATAGAAACAGATTCACAGATAGAGAGACGATGAGTACGAGTCATTACCTCTTTCTCGGGAGGGCTGAGAGCGAGTGTGGTTGTCGGGTGCGCCGGAGGAGCTGAAAGAGTGATGGTGGCCGGCGAAAGTAGAAGCGGCCACCGTGAACGGCCGATTAGATCGGAAAAGCTTTGCAACGGGGATATATCTGGAGGCCATTGATGTGAGCCGTGAATGAAAATATTGTGTGCGCGCGTCTCTCTCTTCCTCTTCCGCTTCCTCTCTCTAGGGTTTTGAGTGGGTTTAAAAACCTTTGAAATTGCGCAGACGGCGAGTGCCGAGTGGGAAATGTTTTAGAGGGAAGAAGGAAAGGGTAGAGTAAGAGTGGTATGACGAGTTGGTTTACATATGGATTTATGATTCATTTTAACGCACGCAAACTAAAAAAATATTTTGAGTTTTATCTTAGAGAAATAAAATATTGCTTAAATTAATAAATATTAAAAACAAATAGAACATCTTTAAAATATTGCTTAAATTAATAAATATTAAAAACAAATAGAACATCTTTAAAAGATGACTGATTCTCATGTTCAAAATATTTATATATGTACATTTAATTTAAGACAATATACTTTCTATTTTTCCAAACAAACTTTTTCTTTCTTTTTTTTTTTCTTTTTTTTTTTATTTTTTTTTTTATTTATCCTGGCAATAAGAAAACCAGCCATACGGCATCTACAAACACAGCCATAAAAGCCGTACAAAGTCAAACAAATCATGAAGCAAAAGAGGAAAAATTAAAAAACGGGCTTCAAATTTGTTGAGAAACAAACCAAAACACACTAGCGGACCATCCAGGGAGAAAGCAACAACGGGAGTGACCCAAAGGTCAGGCATCATCAAGGCAATAGCTCCAAAGCTGCATCCACAAGGCGCCGCCGACTAGGGAAAAACTACCCAAACTCCGCACAAAAGGACGGGGACACCAAAACCCGACATAGATCAGAGATCTTACTAGAAACAAAACAACAAATCTACCCCGTAGAGTCAGAAACAAACCAAACAAGAGTATATCTAGTAAAAACACAGCAAAAACGACGTGAAACCCACCCACCGAACGAACATATTATTCCAAACAATTAATGGAACAAGTTTTTAAACTATATTATTCCACGTATAGATTGATTTAATTTATTTTCATGATTTTTTCTTAAAGTCCAAAGTTAATTAAAACGCTAAAGTATTTCAATCAGACTTGTCAGGATTCTATAAACTTTGTCAATATTTCTTCTTTTCAAATTCAAAGGTAGAATAGATAATCAATCAATGAACAAGGGAGTAAAGGGAATTAAATGATGCATTTACTAATTTAAACTCTGCTTAATCAAATTTTAATCACCACCCACTTCTAAACTCTAATGCAAATTTAATGGAAAAAAATGGTTTTGACGTTTCATTCTTAAAATAAGAATTTAGCAGAGAATGTACTAATTAATTTACTAAGAGCAACTCCAATGCACCTTTCATTTGGGCTGCTAAACTCAAAATTTGAGAGAGGTGTAAAAAGTGAGCTCTGCAATGGGCTTTCATTTAGGCTCTTAAATTTTGAGAATGCCAATTTTTTTCTCAAATATAGGAGCTGCCAATTTTTTTGGCAGGCCTTCTCTCTCTCTCTCTATACGACGCCATTTGGAACGGCTTTGTCTATGTGCATTTCCTGTCCCCTCTTCCGGTTGCGTCAAAACCTAACTTCAATCTCTCTCTCTATATATATAAGTGTATGTTTGTATATCTAACTCTCAATACAAAATCTGACTTCAATCTCTCTCTCTCTCTCAATTCAATGATTCCAATTTCTCCATGGTTGAAGATGGCATTTACAGATCCGGCTTAAGAGTTAGCAGTTGCAGAGAGAGAGAAGGGGGTAAGTTCAGAGTCTGAAATGATATATCGATATGGGTTTTGCGAACGGCGAACTCTGAAATGATATGTCAATATGGGTTTTGATATAGGTAATAGGTTTTGAACCTTTGATTCTTGTAAACAGATAGATATACTGAAATATAAACAATATATACACACATATACGTATGTGTGTTTGAGTGTGTATAAAAGAGATGATGAAGCTGAATAAGAAAAGAGAGAGAACACCAAAAACCATATGAATGGGTGGAGTAAGGAAGCAAACAATTACAACATATATGTATCCATAGATTTTCAGAAAACATCATCCCCATTTCAGATCTGCTCTCAGCCGCCTCACTTACCCTAATTTGACAGATAGATAAACTAAAATATATGAGTTTTGAACTTCTGATTCTTGTAGATTTTGTCGTTTGCAGTAGCAGAGAAAGAGAGAGAGAGAGAAGAGAGAGTACGCTAATATGGAGGGGAAAGAAAATTTATTCAAACCTAAACCCTAAGCTGTTCAATTTGCTGACGCCACCACCGCCTCTACACTTGTAAGACCCACCTTTGTAACCCCACTGCCGCCACCTCATCCCTCACCGCCCAGTTAAGCACCATTACCGGCGGCGGCGGCAACAAACTTCCCATCGGTGGATGCAAATTCTATGACGGAGCGAAAGTACTTCGGTGGTTATGAGTTCGAGACCGAACCAACGAGTTGTACTTGTCGACCGCCATTATCATGTTGGACTGCAGGTAAAGCCCAACTCATATCTGAAATAGGAATTCAGGATTGGAAGTCTACCAATTTTAACTCAAATTTGTAAAAATATAGTTAGGGCAAGTTCAGAGTCAAGAACGAGAACAAAGATTGAGGCGATTGGGGAGGCTGAAATGATTTGCCCTAAAAATATTATGTGGGACATAATGCAATAAATGGTTAAGATGGGAAGGTAATTTCGAAATCAATGGTCAGAGTTAAAATAGGATTGGAAAGCTAGAAGTGGGTTGGACTTGGTTCAATAGAGGGTGAGAATTGCTAAAATATGGCATTTTGGATGAAATGCACTATTGGAGCAAAATTGCTAAAATATAGTATTTTGACATTGTAGTTCCTCTCAAAATATAGATTTGGCAGCCCGAAATGGCATTTAGCATTAGAGATGCTCTAAGGCAGAGATGATTTCTCTTAATTAATTCATATTATATCTCCCAACACTGGAAAGTTCTCATACTTATACTTTACCAATTAAAAAAACTATAAATTAAGTTCATTACTATTAAATAATTTTTCAATTAACAACAGATAAAGTTAATACAATAAATTTAATTATTATGTAATGACCTGGTCATTTTCTTCCTTTTCCTTTTTCCTCAAATTTTGCGGTTAAATTTTTTCCGTTATCTTTTCTTTTCTGTGGACGGTTTTTCATCACTTAGTGTCATCTTGAGTGCTCGGAAATGGTTTCTAAGACTCTTTTCCGTGGATTAACAACTTCCTTTGAGGACCGAGTCATTTCCACAATTTTCGTTTTTCGACACTATTCATTTTTTTGTCTTTATTCCTATTTCGTCCTTTTCCCTATTTCGTCTTTTCCCTGTTTGTCACTTTGTTGGCAAAACCTCACTTCTTGTGCTCAGAGTTGGTTTTTGACTTCACGTATCTTTATCGTGAGTGGTTTCCACGAAATACGTATCTTTACTTTTGCAGGAAAGTACTCTGGTTGGTCCCGGTGTCCATAGGGGCATGGATGCATAATTCTTTGAAATTAATTTCTTTTCTTGAGGTATTTTTCGTAAATATCTTTTGAAGATATTTTATTTCAGGGATATCTAAGAAAATATCTTTTGGAAGATATTTTCATTCTGGGGAAGTTTTGCAGTTAACCCTTTTTGTGGGGGCCATTGTGCAATTAATGAAAGTTGTTGCAAATTATCTTGTTTTGAGCCTGGATCCTCGTACAAGATTCATTTTCACTTTTCGTCGAGTCGTAAACTCTTAAAAGTCCCTTCTGGTCGATGTTTTCGAGTTTCAGGGTTTCTGGTCCCGGTTTGCGCTAAACTTGTTTAGGGTATAACTTTCTGTTCGGGACTTGGTTTTTGACACCGTTTCTTCCGTTATTCTTATTTTCTCATTTTGAATCTTTTTTGTTCACAGAGTTTCATCATTTGAGCGCGTCTGCTCAAATTTCACTTTTTCTGGACCAGGCGAGGTCCGTTCGGGGCATTTTTTGGATTTTCCTATAAAAGGGGGATGAGATATTTTGATTTTCATCTTCCCCACTCATCTTGCACGACCAGAACTCCCATGGCAGCTCAAGGGAGGCTGCCATCTCCTTTCTCCTCTTTTGAACTTCATTTCTTTGTTAAAAAGTTGAAGTGCCTTTACGTTTTATGTTCATGTTGATTATGCGCTTCTTTCACCCTTATTAGAACCCATTTCTGGCCAAATTTTGGAGTTTGGGTTTGAGGTCAAGTTGTGTTTTTCATGGGTCCTCTTTGGAGTTTATCGTGCACGGCGTTGTCCCCAACAAAACCCCGAAGTATCGTCGGATTCGGAGCCGTTTCATTTTGATGGCTTTTGAGATTTTCATCTCAAATTGAGGTAGGGGGTATCTTAGGATTATATTTATGTTGTATTGATTGATATATAAGTATATACAACTTGTGAGCATGCCTTTGTTTAAGATATAGAATTTAATTTAATTAATTTCTATATTTGGGATTTAATTCATATGTTAGTGTATATAACTTGGAATAAAATTGTGGCTTACTGGTAAATTAGGCCTTGGTATGTTGAATAACATATATTAAATTTGGAGCATTTGATTAAGAATTGCAAAAATTATTTAATATTTGTCTTTGGTGAAAGTTTAATTCACATGGTCTTAGCAAGCATGAAATCAAATTATGATGTGATATTTGGATATGTCTTGGCATGCTCTCTAACATATATTAAATTGGGAACATTTGGAATTGATTGAAAATCTAGAGAAAAATTAATTAATGAGCCTAATTAATTTTATTTTAAGTGTATTGGCCACTTAAATTGTTGTTGGATGTAATAGGTTGATAATCCCATGAAATGTAGTCCATTTAATCACCTTGTGAGCATGTTACTAATTTGATGTAGAATTAGTACTTGAGACATCTTGAAATGGTAATTGGACTTAGCATGATATAGAATATCATTGACTTGCATAGCTTGTTTAGATATATCTTGTGTAGGTGTATAGCTTGTTAGAATATTACAATTGTTTACCTTGGAAGCTAGTTACTAAATTGGGACTTATTTAGTACTTGTGGCTTAGTGTGGTAATGTGGTTCAATTGTTGTAAAATATTCTTGTTTTGGTTATAAATTGCATATTGGAGGCTTGACATATCATATGCTATCTAGACTTGAATTCTAGGACATTGTTTGTGTAGATTTAACCTTATTTGTGCATGGAAGATGGTTTTATGCATTAGTGGATTTGGTTTATAAATTGCATAGTGGAAAGCTTATA